TCCAGTTACATCACTAATAAACATAAGTAGGATGAGCCTCGGCTACATGCTTCCTGGTCAATCCTGGGGGAACTGCACTGATGCAAAATGAGAGGAACTATCCCAACTGGTTCCAGGTTACCCAATCTGGCTCTGTCCTTAAATCCCCCAAAGTTAAAGCGTTTAGAGGCCATAAAGATGATCTGTTTCACATTCATTTTTCAAACAAATTCTTTGAAGACAGTGGTCAGGACTCTTCTGGGGTCACAGGTTTGCTAATGAAAACAAGGTCTGAATCATGTCATTGCTTATGGAGAATTAGCCCTTCCCATGGTCTTCAATTGCTTACAATAGGCTTCCTCAGAGCAAAGTTCACTCTAGCGGAGACTCAATGCAACTCTCCGATGTCTCCAAATAATCATAACACTTAGCTAGAGTAAACATGAAAGACTAAATATTTTCTCATGATCCCTTCTTGGGTTGGGATCATGAAAAACTACACTACCATCATGTCGCAAGCTCTCTTGAAAATGACATTTCTAGCCAGAGGCAATGTATTTCAGAGACTCTCACCAGAGAGGGTAAGCAGGTTTCTCCCGAGATCGTCCAGCACCAAAGGTATTGAAGAGGCACTTGTAACATCCCTCATCCTCCAGGGTGGTATTCCAGAAGGTAATGGTTGAGTTTTTGAGTTCCAGCTGGGTGATGTTTATCTTGTCTGGTAAGGAGGTTGGACTACAACCCATGTTTATTCGCTGAAGGTAACCATGTTTTCTGGCTTCCAGCCTTGACTTTCTGGCATGTCACAATCAACACTTCCTTAGAAGTTTTCAGAGAGCATCTTAAGGAAGCAGGTGTGTTCAACAGCTTCTCTTATTTTCAGTGAACACTTTAAGCATGGAATCACAAAAGAATATTTATATTTTAAAACTTTAGTGCATACACAAATAAGTATTTTTCTGATTAAAAAAATACATATTCAAAGTCAAATGTAGAAAAGTTAGAGAAAAACTTAAAGAAGAAAACAACATTTATCTACATTCCTGATGTTGCTAGAGAAATATAAATTCAAATATTTGTTGAATCTTTCAAAGTAGCAGAATACAAAAACAAGAAAGCCAATTCTCAGTGACCAGAAATTATGTAAATAATTTCTTTAAGCTAAAAAGTAGGTGGAATAAGGTTGAAGATAGAAAGTGCCAAATAAGTTAGAAGCAATGAAGTGTTTTTTATGCCCAGAAAGATAGATGCCAGGGGCAGGGAAGGGCCAAAGATCAATAGGCCAACAGATTAGCTTAATGAGGAAATGTAGTAGTCTTATATGGTTCACACAATATTCTACAAAGACAGGAGCAGTGACAATTTTGTTTGTCTCGAGGAAGCAGTGGTGAATACAGGGGAAATAGGTAAAGAAGTATAGTTCAGAATATAAGGCATGGTAATAATTTTTTCCATTTCCAATGTTGGGTACTCATATTGGTATCTCATTGTGATTTTGATTGGCATTTCTCTAATGACAAGTGATGATGAGCATGTTTTCATGTACCTGTTGTTCATGTATGTGTACTCTGGAAAAGTGTTCTCAAAATGAACTGTTGTACACTGTTGGTGAGAATATAGACTGATTCAGCTCCTATGGAAAACAATATGGTGGTTTCTCAAAATATTAAAAATAGATCTTCCCTAGGATTCAGCATTTCCACTCCTTGGTATTTACCTTAATAATGCAAAAGCACTGATTTGAAGGGATATATACATGCCTATGTTCTTTGCAGCACAATTTACAACAGCCAAGTTAGAGAAGCAACCTATGTGCCCAAGAACAGATGAATGGACTAAGAAGATGTGGTACATATACCCAATGAAATACTACTCAGCTATAAGAAAAGATGAACACTTGGCATTTGTGACAACATTTGCATTCTGGGAAGCAAAATAAATCAGGAGAAATACAAATTTGAAATGGTTTCACCCATATGTGGAATATAAAGAAACAGAGTCAGAAAGCACCAAACCAAAATCCCTAGAAATCTAACTGTAAAGCAGGCTACCAGAGGGGAGAAGAGAAGAGGGAGTAGAAAGGGAGCACTGGTCCAATTGACTTGGTGGGGGTGGGGGGGTGGGTATGGTGTATTATCACACACCTAAAGAGGTGGGATTCTCTATATCTTAATCATATACAGTGTTTGAAGCCAGTGTTGCCTTAATAAAATATTACATAAATAAATAATTTTTTAAAATTCAAAAATCTGTGACGGTTCAATCATCAGTCCAGAAAGACTTTGAAAGGAAAGAAAAGGGATAAAAATGAAGACAAAAATCCACCAGGGACAAAAAAATTATTTTTTTAAATGATAAAGGAGCAATCTAAAATAAGATCTGTTAATCATGCACATACATTCACCTAACAACATAACTCTGATATATATAAAAAGCTACAAAGAAAAATGCATGAACCCACAATCATAATGGGAGAGGTTTCAATAATTCTCTCAGAATTTTCAATTCCATACATTGAAAAAATACATGAGGTAAGTCAAATATAAAAGATTTGATAAATATTTATAAATTAAAGATATAATTTATATAAATGTATATGTAAGTGTGTGTTTATAAACTTTTACCCAAAAAAGGACAAATCTTTTCAAACACATGTGAAACATTCCTAAAATTGAACTTGAATGAGGATAAAAGAAAATTTGCTACTCATACCTGGAACATTGATCACAATGTAAAAAAAAAAAAAGAAATGTACATATTTCTTTTCACTCTTTAATTATACCAAATATTATATAAGAATTATAAATTCTATAAATGACAACTAGAATGCAACATATTAATATCTATGGAAATTGATAAAGCAGTTCTCAGAGGGAAACAGTCAATCCTAACTTCTCATTAGGAAAAAAAAAATCCACAATGGGAGTGAATTAATAAAAATAAAAGCACACATTAATAAAATGGTACACGAAATGTTGAGTTAATCAAAATACAAAATTCTGGGTTTTTAAAAAAATATTGATTAATGTATTCAGAGAAAAAAAGAATGTAACACAAAAAGCAAAAATATCCTCTCAACAACCCCCAAGAACATTAGAAATGAAATAATGGGCCTGGTAACAAGTACACATTGAAACCTCAGAGTGGTGCATAAGTGCAGGTTGAATGAGGTGTGTACTCTTGGTAGTTGTGAAATTTCCAGGAACAGTATGTGCTGTTTGGATTGTATTTCCTTAAATATCCTCTCAACAACCCCCAAGAACAATAAAAATGAAATAATGGGCCTGGTAACAAGTACACATTGAAACCTCAGAGTGGTGCATAAGTGTAGGTTGAATGAGGTGTGCTCTTGATAGTTGTGAAATTTCCAGAAACAGTACGTGCTGTTTGGATTGTATTTCCTAATGTTTGTTGAAATATTAAGAAGAAAGATTTGAAAAAAATTGCTGCTTTTAGGATGGAGACTAGAAAAGGGAGAAAAACTAAAATTTTGACTTCTTGGGTATTTTTTCTCTTGAACTATGGAAGAAATGATTTGGTAGAAAGTTTATACGACTTTGCTGCTTATATGGAATTTTATTTAGATCTTTCAGTCAGTCAGTAAATCCTGTGTTGTAGATGGTGCGAAGTCTGCCCTTCCTTCACCGCATAGCACCCTGGGAAGGTGATGAAAGGCAACGGGAAAGTGAGGGGTGGCTTTCCATGGGACAGAGCAGAAAGGTCTGCACAACTAAGAATTTGGGAGGTACATACAGAGACTTATTTCATGTAATAGAACATGTGAAATCAGGTAACATGTGATTTCATTATTTTATAGATAGATGATATGATAGATAGGTAGGTAGGTAGGTAGGTAGGTAGGTAAGTAGATAGCTATATGCATGCTGTAAAAGACAGCCACACTCATTGCTAAGGCTTACTCTCAGATCACCTCCCAAACAGTTGTATTTCTCATACTCCTTCAAGTGTTCCCATAGCCAAAAAAAACTAAGAAATTACTATTTTTAAAAGTTATTTGATCCAAAATGTGAAAAACAACATCTTAATTTAGAAAAAACATTTTTCATGTCTGGTTTTATCCATGGAAACAGTTTCTAAATAGCCAAATATGCTTCCACACTCAAGACAAAATGTGGAAAGCAGAAAGAACCACTCCCACTCCCTTCAAGCAAATTACATGTTTAATAATCCATGCAGACAAATGAACAAGCACAGCATAAACAGTGGTCAAACATCTCCACTCCAGAAATTGTGTTTGTTGAGTTCTAGCAGGGGTATCATGTATCTTTACCTTGTGTCTTGCACAGCCTCATCACTGCCAACATCCAAATCAGTGTGTAGATAGGCAAAGGAAAGAAAGGCCTTCTGAGCACCTGAGGACAGAAAGTACAACAATGGGGGTCTGGGTGTGGACAAAGCCATGGAAGCTGCAGTCTGATCACTATTTCTAGGAGTCTTGCAACTAACATTTTAACTGCAGGAGTTTGGTTTGGGGAAACAGACCCAGAGGCTATAAATGGAAGAAATAACAGACTGTGCTGGGGATATGAGAGGGAACAGCAACCACATGGCTCCTTCAATAGAGCAATCTTTAGCAATTTGAAGCCTTCCTCCCAAAGCCACCATAGTCAAAAACAAAGTCTCCAAGACAATGGATTTCTGGAAAAAACAAACTGCCAGGAATATACACAGAGAACAGAGACCACAAATGTTCAGAGCACTCACTTGTAAAATAATCCACTTCTGATCATATTTAAAGTGGAACTCAGAAGTAACCACTTCAGGAATGTGACTACCTTGACTTTTGTAGGCAGATTTTCCAGCAAATTCTGCAAATTTTACATAAATTGTACCTTTCAAACACCAGTAATGGCTTTATTGCTTTTTTTTTTTCTTTCATTACTTTATTTTCAAGTGCCTGCACAAAATTTCCTTGCCCTTTTTACAAATCACAGTGGTGTTTAAAGGAATGGAATTCTGGGAATCATTGTAAAATGAGAGGGTAGTAAAAGGATTACCACGGTAAAGAGGAGAGCCAGGCCAAGTTTCTGACAGGCAGGAACTTTATTGCACCTACAGGCAAGGTTCACTGACCCACATAGGGGTCAGAGAAGTCGTGCCAGTTGTGGGGGGAGATGTCCTTTTATAGGGTGAGGAAAGGTTAGGCAGGAAACTGGGTATGCGAACTAAAGTTTTTTTTGGTAACTTCTGGTTGATCGTTACCCTCAGGTCCTGTTTGTGTGGGGTAGAGGCCTCTGGTTCCAGGAGCTGAGGCAAAGGTGGAATTCCTCTCTGCGCCTCCTTGTGCCTGCGGCCTGGGGCCCTCACCAGGCCTTACAGGTACACAAAGAAATATAGACAGATGAACTTTTCACAGTAACCCCAGGATCCCTCCCCCTGTTCTACCTGTCTGTGTTCATTCTAAGGGGTATAGGCAAGATATGTAACTTTTCCCTATTTTTCTCTATTTTTCTGTAACAGGTATTTAAGACGTATAGGTTTCCCCTCTATTTTATTTAACTGAACTTCATTTTGATTTGATGTAGCCATTCCAAGTAGAGGTACAGATTTAAGTCAATTCCACATAATCTGTGAAATAACCCCCATCACCAAAGCTTCATGACTGCCTCAATCTTTTAGCATCACATCTAAATTCTGGGGCTTTGATGCCAGGTTATAGGACTACAGATCTTCACTTACAATCATTTGTCCACATTGGCATTTCCTAAGATAACTGTATTCCTCTTTGAATATGGTTATCTCTGTACTTGGTATGTGCCACTAAAATGCACTTACGATGTTGTCTCTCTCTCATTCTCCCATGTTCTCTCCACTCTCCCAGTTCCATGTTCCTGGACTCTCCCTATGCTGAGCAAAGGTAAATTCTCTAAGGCCCTCTACCTCACTGCCATGTATGTGTCTCTCTCTGTTTTTCTTCTTCCTAGCCATGATGGGTAGGCTTGCCACTTCCCACAGTTTCCCCCCAGAAACAGGTGCTTTCTGATCTTGAATTTTAACACCCACCTTTAAGTCCTATTTACTATCCTCTTGAACAGGACACTGGGGTCTGAACAAAGGTATTGGTCAGTCCCTCTTCCACCTCCCAGCTTAAAAAATGCTTATTTCACATAAGGTCAGAAAAGTTCGTTCTCCCACCACTCTGTATTCTTCCCATCATCTCTTTTCATTTATTTAATTTGTTTGAAAGATTTATTTATTTATGCATACAAGAACTGGGGTGCAGGCCAGATTTCTGGTGCGGGTTGGGGGTGAGAGGACTCACCAGAGACAGAGTAGGACAAAACAGGCAGACTGGCTGAAATACATGGCTGAGGTGAGCAGTGGGCAAGACAGGAGAGGTCTGTTGCAGACCTTGGGTTATTCCCTGGCTGGCCAGGGATGAACAATTGCTGCAGTGGCAGCAATAGCTTGATAGTGCTGTCTTTAACCCATGCACTACCAAGGAGGCCCTCAACTCTTTTTTTTTTTTTTAATAAATATTAAGACCTTGGTGTTGCAGCTTTAGACATTTAAAACTCAAAAACTTAGGCTCTTACTATCTCAAAACGTTGGCTTTTGAAACTAATGTCTTCCCTGGCAATTTAATTCCACACCATTTTCTAAAAAATCATAATGCCTCTCTCTCACATGGAAACCCAGACTCCAGCAAAGACTATGATGAGGAATGCAGCATGGACTGGCTCTCACAGTAAGAATTCTGTGTTCAGACAAAAGAGGAAGCAGAGGCTCACCAAAACAAACGACATGTGAACTAGGAGCCAGCAATGTTTAATTCCGAAAGAAATACACAGTGATTGAAGCAGTAAGAGAAAGGAAGCCTTGCTAATGCTTTTTCTGGTTGCCTTGAGTTTGAACTATCAAAAATTCTGGATGTGTGAACTTTATCAAATCATCCTACACTTCTTGACATACAGGAAACAGAAGAGTACAGCCTGTTTGTTAAAAGGTCTCCTAGAATAGTGACTGATAAAATTAGCACTCAGTAAGTGTTGTTATTTGAGTAACTATGAGGATTAAGCATTGAAAGCACTCCATGCAGTGCCTAAGATATACTAAATGCTAATAAGGGGTAGCAAAAAATAAAAACATTAATCATATACAAGGAATGTAAATATGGAAATGGAGGCTCCACTTCAATCATTTGCCAAAACGGGGGTCCCAAAGGTCTTCCCTCTTATCTGACAGCTGCCCATCTGGCATTACTCTCTATATACCTTTCCCTTTCAATGTTTTTAAAACAAATCCTGATCTAGTGCATGGACTTGGAAAAATTATTTCCTTATTTGTAAAGTCCTGCTTTGAAGGATCCTAATGAAGATTATAAACATCTGGAATGCAGTGGACAGTGGATAGCAGTCCGCCCCTCTCCTTTGCGAAGAAAGATACTGAAATCACTGGCTGTGAGGTGTGACCAATAAAGTTGTTTATGAAAAAAGACACCTCGATGCAAGACACTAAAATAACTGGCTGTGTCCTCTTGCCCATAAACTGTGTATGGAAAAAAATACCTCGTGGCAAGATACTGAAATAACTGGCTGTGTACAGATCTTGCCAATAAATTGCTTGTTAAAAAAAAAAAAAAACACCTCGAATTATCTTAATGCAATTCGATATTAATTTTTTTTAATTGCTAATTTTTTTCTGGTTAGTTCTATCAGTATAAATAAAAGCCCTTCTCTTCCTTTGGAGTCATGTAAACAGATCCTGAATAAACACAACGTGTGTCACTTTTGGAAATTTGGGTTTCACTGATCCTTTAAGGCTTCTGAACTCAAAAACCCAGAAGATAGAGAGACCCCCTCAGCATTAAGGAGGAAGGAAGCTACCGCGGAAACTGAACCCTTAATTCTGCAACCCCACCCCAGCTTTTGTGGCAACACTTAGCCAATACCCTGGTAGCTGTAAGCGCCTCCTGCCCAGCTCTCCCCTCGAATAACAAAGACCACCGAGCAACCTGCCGAGCAACAGCCTTTTTCTAGGGCTTTTGATTGACCACCCGCAAATCATTTCTCAGAAGGCAACATCTGCTTCTCAGCGAGGTTTAAACTCTGAGAGCGAAAGGGCAGAGAAACCCCACGACCAAGCTCCGGAGTCCATTGTGGGGAGCCGCCGCCCCCCGGGACCCCCCGCGCGACCCCCGCCCCGCGCCCTCACCCTGGCGCGCGCGTCCCGGCTCACCAGTGTCTGGAGCGAATTCATCCTGGTTTCCCGTGGAGCGCCGAGGCGTAAAAAGACGACGGTGGGCTCCCCCACCGGGGCCCTCTGCTCGCCGCGAAGCCCCACCCCGCTACACGGCCCACTAGCGGGCACCAGTGCCTCCTGCAGCCCCTCCTTTTAAGCTCCCCACCTCGGGCTCCCCATCACCCTCTGCAAAGGCACGAAGGCAAAGTGAATTTCCAGTTTACTTGTACTCATTCTAGCCTGTGCATCTTTCAGAAGTTCAGTGGGCGAGCTGAAAACGTGTTGAGAAAAACAATATATTCTTTATTCCGTTTTTATAGTAGAAAGGGGAGGGAGGGGGCGTGTGGATTACGTCACTGCCTCAGCATTTGGTGGACAGACAAGCCGCACTACAAACAGGCATGTTAGAAATGATTTTTAAGAAATGCTATTCATGTCACCTATGAAATGTAAAACGTTTTGAAGTTGAATTTGACCAATATACACTTTTTTTAAAGGCAAAAGAAGTTTTATTTTCTACAAAATGAAATGATTTCTGTAATGCTCCTCTTTTATAACCCGACTTTTCCTTATTATTGTGGGGATTTTCTTCCACTTGTAAGGATGATGAATATTCTTAGTCTGACAAGTTCCACATTTCTTGAATCTTAAAAAAAAAAAAAAATGAAAAAAGCAAAACAAAACAAACACCCAGATCAATGAAATGTTCACCTCCTACAGCCTTTTCTGTTTTCCTGCCACCACCTTCAGAGGCGGTTTTTCAAATGGGGGTGAATCCATGTCCCCCTGTTTGGCATAGGCTAAAAGGGCCTTAAAAATGAAACTGAAATACCACAGACATTTGGAAATTTTTACTTTGACACATAATTTCCCCCCAACATTTTCCTGTTACTTTTACAGTTAGACAAATGATCTATGTGTTAGGGGACCACCATTACTTATGTTCACATTTATTTTACATATGAAAATGAATGTGTGGGAAAATGAGTCACAAATTAAAATGAGTTAAAAAGTTAGTCAGAGGGAATCTTTTTTTATGTGTCCCACAAAAACAGCACCCAAGACAATGGGTGGTTACACAGGAGTCCACCTTAGCCATGGAGTATATTGTTCAAGACCCGCCCCCCACTGGATGCCTGAAACCATGGATGTATCAAAACTTATTTATACCTTAAGTTGTCCAGTACTGGGCCTCCCTGGTGGTACAGGCGGTTGAGGGCAGCGCTGTGAAGCTGTCCGCAGCCTCTGCAGTGCAGGATAGATCCTTACTGGCTGCGGAGCAACCTACAAGCAAAGCAGACCTCTCCTGTCTCGCCCGCTGCTCCCCTCAGCAGTGTATTTTGTCAGTCTTCCTGTTCTGTTCCCCGCTCTGTCTCTGGTGGATCCTCTCACTCTCCCCATCTGGCCTGTACCCCGGTTCTTGTATAAATAAATAAATCTTTAAAAACAAAAAGTTTTCCAGTACTTACATACCCCTGACAAAGTTTAATTTATGAATTTGACACAGTAATAGATTAACAGTAATAGCTAATAGTATAACAATTAACTATAATAAATGTACTCTCTGGCTCTCAAAATATCTAACTGTACCTGTTATTTTCAGACTGCAATTGACCACAGGTAACAGAACCTTGAAAAGCAAACCGTGATTAAGGGGGCACTACAGAAATTCACTACTTGGAGCCCATCTATATGTTCGCTGAGCAGCTATGAGATCTTGGGTAAGTTGTTGAATTACTCCATGTTTCAGGCAGAGGAGCCAAATGGAAATGTAACAAATTCATAACCTCTTGTAACAATTAAGTACAGTTGTCCCTCACTATCCAGGGGGATTGACTCCAGGACCCTCAGTAGACCAGAATCCCTGGATGCTTAAGTTCTTTATTAAAATGACTTAGAGTTTGCATATCACCTATGCACATCCTCCCAAATACTGTAAATCATCTCTAGATTTTATAATACCTAATGCAATGTAAATGTCTTATAAATAGTTGTTATATTATTTTGTTTTGGGGTTAACGATGGGGAGGAGGAGTCTGTATATGTTCAGTACAGACAAAACCATTTGAAACTATATAGTTCATGTTTTCTTTTTTTTTTTTTAATTTTTAAAAAAAGATTTATTTATGCATACAAGAGCTGGGGTAGAGGCCAGAGGTCTGGGGGATGAGAGGATTCACCAGAGACAGAGTGGGGAACAGAACAGGCAGATTGACCAAAGTACACTGCTGAGGGGAGCAGCAGGGGAGTCAGGAGAGGTCTGCTGTGCCATGTGGGTCACCTCCCTGGCAGGGAATTGAACTCGTGCTGCAGTTTCTGCTGCTAGCTTCATAATGCTGATGCTTAACCCCTTGCACCACCAGGGAGGCCCTATAGTTCATGTTTTCAATCTGATGCTAGTTGAACATGCAGATTCTGAGGGTAATTCCTGCTACATAGTAAGATCAATAATGTCACTATTATTTTATGTTAGGGTATGATATTATTGCATATTTAACAAACAATCCTTAAAATAAGTCTCTCTTTTAGATTATTTGTTTCTGTTTTCCAGCTTGAGTTATTTTTAGTAGTGTTCTACAAACATTCTCCTACATGATTTTTGTGAATATGTATTATTACATTAGATAATTTTTTATTGTTGCCAAATATAGCTTTTCCTATTGCTTTATTTTTAATCTTTTCCTATTTTTTTCCTATATATAGATAATATTTGGTAGGTGATATTTTGCTTGACCTTGATATTATGTTTGACCTCAATTTTTTAAATCCACTGAAAAACTCTGTCCTAGATTATAAGAGAATAGAAAAAAATTAAGATATTGTCAAACATGTAATTCTCAGCAAATGTGTTATGTCATGACCGAATTTGAAAAAAATTTCAAAAGTGGTATTTTCATAAAATTAAAATTTAATCCAGGAGAAGGTTACACAGGAAAATATGCAGAAAGAATAAATAACATCAAAGTTCATAATTGCTTAGAAGAAGAGAGGTCTCTAAAATTGTCATTAAATAAAATAATTCAATAATGAAACTTACATGGAAGGAAGACAAGGGTTAGGAAATGAGAGCATGAGAGATAAGTGAGAATTATGTTAATGTGTTATATTTAAGAAATCAACATAAAAATAAACGTAAGTAATACCTTAAGTAAGTTAGGGGAATGTATTAGAAGAATAGGCATAAACTATGGCACAAACTAATAACAATATTATTAGAATAATTTTTACAATAATGTTAGATGACCTAAAGAGAAAAAATTAAAATAATATTTTACTTAAGAAGAAAGAAAATATTACTAATATGAAATATGAAAGTTAATAATGAAAGGAAATAAAAATGTCATATCAGTAATTATGACACTTATGAGTAATTATGACAGCAGGTTTAAAACACAAATATTATAGTGAACAAAATGTGGAAAATATTCCTGGAACATAAACATTGTTTAAATATTCTTTGAGGGAAAAAAAGGAATGCACTCATATAACTTAAGTAACACTTTGCAAAAAAGAAAAAATATTTAAAATTCTTGGACAGTTAAAGCAGCACCCAGATCTAATTTAATCATCTTAACTATATATATATTTTTTTTAAAGATTTATTTTATTTATACAAGAACTGGGGTGCAGCCCGGATGCACGGGAGGGTGAGAGGATTCATCAGAGATAGAGCAGGGAACAAAACAGGCAGACTGACAAAATACACTGCTAAGGGGAGAGGTCTGCTGCACCATGTGGGATTTTTTGCTGGCCCGCTGGCATCGAACCCACACTGCAGAGGCTGCGGACAGCTTCACAGTGTGGCGCTCAACCGCCTGAGCCACCGAGGAGGCCCTTAACTATATTTATCAGATACCAATATTGAACAAAGAAGCAAACAGTGGTTTCAGTAAGATAAGTAGGGCAGATAAAATAAAACTGAAGACAAAAACAATTAAAAATAAACAAAATTGAATAAATATAAAAAGACATTTTTAGAGATTAATTGAACAAGCCTATAGCAAGAGTGTCTAAGAGAAAAAGAAATATAGTATAATAAGAATACTGACATAGAAAAAATGAGAACACTAGTATGAGCAATCATAATAATTTTAAAACTTATACAAAATGGATAAACCTCTTTTTTTTAGGGAATCTACAACTATATAATTTTGCAGTTCTACTTTTTTTTGCTTGTTTATTTTATATATTTTTTACATCTTTTTTTTAAATAATAAATTTTATTTTTATATTCCCCATACAATTGCAACCCCCACATTCTGACCCCAATCCCTCCCCTCTATTTTTTACATCATTTTTAATTTTTGCACAATGTATGCATTTTCATTTTCATTGTTATGGTCCCTAAAAATTCCCACCACCCTTGTTTTGATCCTATTCCCTTCTCTCCGCCCTCCCCCTACCCCGGGCAGTGTGTCTCCGGTTTATGGTTGCTTGTTGATTTTGATTTTTACTTTATTATAATTAGTCTTTTTCCTGGTCCCTTATTTAGGTTTTCTAAATTCCTGCTATGAGTGAGACCATTCGGTATTTGTCTTTTTCTTTCTGGCTTATTTCACTGAGCATGTTCCCTTCCAGCTCCATTCAGGTTGCTGCAAGATGGTTTTCTTGATTTCTTCTTCTTCAGATTTATTGTTTGTGTATAGGAAGGCTACCGATTTTTGCATTGATTTTGTATCCTGCTACTTTACTGATTGATTAGTTTGATTAGTTTTTATGTGGAGTTTTTGGGGTTTGCTATGTATATTATCATATCGTCTGTGAATAGTGATAGTTTGACTTCTTCCTTCCCTATTTGGATTCCTTGTATGTCTTTCTCTTGTCTTATTGCTCTGGCTAGGACTTCCATTATTATATTGAAAACTCAGTGGTGAGAGTGGACATCCTTGTCTTGTTCCAGCTCTTAATGGAAATGCTTTCAACTTTTCACCACAAAATGTATAAAATTCTAAAAGGAACAAATGGGTCATAAAATTTTTAAATTAATATTTTAACAATATTAAATCATCCCATAAATGGACATGGATGTTGTTCTATTTGTTTGTATCTTCCTTTGTTTTGGGTTTTAGTATACAAATCTTTCATCACCTTAGTTAATTTTATTCCTAAGTAATTTGGGGAATATTATTATAAATAAAATTGTTTCCCTGGTTTCTTTTTCAGGTATTTCATTGTTAATGTGTAGAAGCACAACTTGATTTTGTATTCTATAACTTTACTGAATTTGTTTATATTGATCTAATAATTTTTTACAGAATCTTTAGGGTTTTGACCTA